ATATATATATCTGTTGTATTCTTCTCTGAGTAAGAGTGAGTCACCCGCCGAAATATAGATCATGAGACAATAATTGGCCTCTACTTTAAAAAAACAAAAACAACCCCATATAGATCTAGATCTTGTAACAGTCCAATTTTTTTTCTGGACGTGGCGGAGGGTAAGTTTAAGCACGAAACTACCGTACAACCTTTAGTACTATGAGGGCCTCAATCAGCACAAAGGCAGAGAAATAGCCTTTCTTAAGAACCGCAACTAAAGAAATAAAATTATAAACTGACTCTAGCTGTGTGGGCGTGGCCACCGCGTTCTCCTGAAACAATCGTCCGTAACACCAATGTCCAGAAAACCAAGATGGCAGAGAAGTAGAACTTTTTCTTTTGAAAATTGTAATTCACCCCACCCCCCCTTTTTTGTTAATTGCCTTTGTATAATTTAGTTGCAGTAAATCGATCGTTCCTTGACTCGGCTCCCATATCATGCCAAGTAGTGTTTATTGTGCTTACAGTGCGGCTAGATCTACTCATGTCAAATATTTAACTTGAAAACTCGATTCTCTTGGTATCGGGGTACATGTTTGTTTGCAGCAGAGCGAATCCTTACAGTTCCATTGTTGATTTATGTGGTTTGTTACATTTCTGTAAACTAGATCTAGATCTACTCTATTTTGGCTCGTAGGCCTAAATTCAAAGGCTCAATACGAGCAAAGTTTTCTGAAAACAACTCGTTGCGAAAGCGTGAAACCGAAACTGTTCAGAATCGGATATTTACATCAAATGCGGTTCTTGCTGACCTGTGCCGGAAATGACCTTGAAAGGAAATTGTATTTTACTGTCAGTCAGTGTTGTTGACAATCAAGTCTCAGCTGAGATGTCTTGGCTTTCGTTCAAGAGCAGCTGATTCACGAAAGGTAATGTCTATTTGTTTTTTTACCTTAGGTTTAATTAATTATGTCATTCTTTTAGTAGAGTGTTTGTATGAATCATTTTACTTATCATCGTAAAGGAATGTTTTTGTTCTATTTGTAACAATTCGTTCACCACGTCTCTACACACAATTCTCATCGCCTTCCTTGGCCTTGGCAGCGCCCCTAGAATCTAGTCCCTAGCTGCTCTGGATTCTAGATTAAATCGAATCTAGATCTAGATTCTAGCCTCAGACTCAGAGGCCATCCTCAGAGACGGTCAGAGTGAGAGTGATGAGATCAGTCAAACACAACAATTCACCAACTGACTCGTGGCACGGTACACATCATTTCATTTTGTATTCAAGTCATAGTTTGGGACTGGAGGGAGGACTTCTGTAACGAGTGGCCACAATCACAATGAGACAGAGAAGAATAGAGGGCTAGTGGTAGGGTTTGGGGTAGAGGAGGGTTAGGGTTTGGGTTAGGATTAGGTATCTTCTCTTGTGTTTGTTGGGGTGGTTGCTAGTTACGGAGTCCTTCCGGACTCGAGAGCAGTGGTACTGTAAAAGAACAGAGTGATTATTCTCACCCCGGGGGATGAGGATAAACTGGATATTAATTATTCTCACCCGGAGTGAGAATAAAATTGATACTATTCTCACTGGTGAGAATAACGACCGCCTATTATTCTCACCGCCCTTTTTATTTCATTTCGAGCATCATAGGACCCCTGTCAATTGAGCGCTCCAGGTGATAAAACTCGCCTCCCTCTCTCACTCCGCTGAGTGCGTGAGGTGACTAAAATCGCCAACGGGCGGGCCAGCTCTCGAGCGCGGGAGGCGACTATTGTCGATTTGGGGGGAACACGCCTTATCTTTTGAGCAAATAACGTCACCTTTTGATGCTATTTTTGGTTCTGTAAGGGAAAATTTTATTCTTGAATGGTTTTTAAAACCAATCAAAATTAAGAAAAAAATAAGCATAGCCTAGGGTCAAGGAACTGCGTGCTTTAAAAATAATCGTGGGTTCTGTTAGGGATTTATGTAACATGTTTTTTGTGTTAAACAAATGCCAATTCTAACATTACAACAAACTATTAGTGTACTAACATTTGTTCATTAAAAATCTTTCAGTCAAGGCTGAATCCTGTGTAAGTTGTGCACGTTAAAGATCCCTAGATGGTCCTAAAATCGATAAAAGTGAAAATTTAAAATTAACTCTCACCAGACTGAAAAACCTAAAATGTGTCCCGTGCGCTCATGCTCATGACCATTGCAGTCGCAAGCACTGTAAAACACTTAGATCTGCCCTCCCCCCCAAGTCACGGGTAGACTAGCTTAATATGTAAGGCAGCATGGTGATATCAGGCGCTTGTCAAAATAACGAAAGTGAAGAAACTGTGGCGTTTTATCGCTGGTTTGAGAATTAATCAAATTTTTGTTTTTTGGCTCAACACCTTTCACTTTCACACCCATTAAAGAAAACATTTCTGTGTGGATTTTACTGAAAAAAAGTTTATCAAAGGCATAAAAGATCTAAATTTTCAGTTTCCGCTGACTCTGAAGCTAAGGATATAACGCAACATTTGCAGCCTTTTTTTCGCTAATTGTTCTAAAACCAGGTGACCCCCACCTCCTTCAGTTGCTAATATTTGACTTGTATCCAAGATAAAAGATATTTTTTTCCATTAAAAAACAAGGCAAATGGACAGGCTCTAAGATGTTACCAATAACTCCATATATATGCCCCAAAATTGATGAGCGTCGAATTCCACCGTGTCGTAACGCATTGTATTATGACTAGAAACTGATGACAGGAAATTTTGTTACCACGTCATCATCTTTACCACTGCAAAATTGTATATTTTATTTATTAATCTACACTTTTAATTATCAAAATATATCCATCACCTAGCCACTAACATCGTTCCATCTCGTCACTTTCCGTTGCAACTTACTTGTCAATCATCGTTATCACCGCAAAATTAAGCGATCCGCTCACTGCAATTGTAATGGGCACTGCCTTTGTTCTATAATATATACTTAGAACACCTCCAGTAAAGTGAAACCACGATTATTACAGATAAAAACCAAAGATTATGTGCCCAATGCTTCATGCTCATTCTTCAACTTTAGCCAAGTGACTTAGATTTTATATGAAACAAGTGGGCTAGATTTTAGAATTTGAAACAATTGTTCCAAATGAATACATTTTGTATATAAAGCTACATCTAGAGTAACTTTTGAGGAGCTTTTTAGTACTTTCATATATCTTAATTTGATACAGTATACTAACATTGATGAATAAATTGCTACGGGTGTTCATTTACAGCTTCTGCCCATAGAGATAAACTTCTTTCATTTTGATGCACAACCTGTTGTCACCATAAGTATTTATTAATCTACACTTGGCTCAGCATCATGTGCTATTGTTGATCTCCCTAAGTCAAAGACATGTGTGTCACGACGTGGTGGAATCAGGCGCTCGTCAATTTTTGGGCATATAGGGTTATTTGAATGGTATCTTCTTAAAGCCAGTTCATTTGCCTTCCTTTTGGTAGAAAAAAATATAATTCTATCTTGAATAGAAGCTGAAATATTTGCTATTGAAGGAGGTCAGGGTCACCTGGTTTCAAAGGTAAAATTAGCGAGAAAGTGGCTGCCAAAGTGTGGTAACATCCTTAGCCTGAAAGTCCTTGGAAACTGAACATTTATATTTTTTAGTTCCTTTAATCAATGTTTTTCAGTAAAATTCACACAAAAATGTGTTTTTAAATGGACATAAAAAGGTGTTGAGCCAAAAAAAGAAAACTTGAAAAAAATTGCCCATTGGCCAAATAAATGCCGTTTTCTTCGATTTCATTGTTTTGACGAGCGCCTGATTCCATCACGATGTCTCACATTATATTATTTATATGCTTCAATGTGAGAATTTTAAAATTGAGATCAGAGAGTTTTCCCACCTGTCTGTTCATTTTCCTCTCCGTCTCTCTTTATCACTCTGTCAGTCTGTCTACCTGTTTATCCCTGTCTGTCTGCCTATGTTGCTCTGATGCTTCATTGCTTCATTTTAAATCAAAGGTACAAAACCTTAAAATTCGACGAATGCCCATGCTCACCTATTCTGACCCCCTGAAAACTGAAGCTGCAGAATAAAAATTTGTTCTGTAGCGGACTGTTTGAAAAATGTATCTAGCGATATTTTCGTGTGGGTGGTTGGTGGGTATCTGGTGTGGTTTAATCCTTCTTTCCTATCAAATATATCTATCTATTATTGTCCTTATGTCTCCTCCTTTTTTGTTTTTGTTACTCACTTGTAACACCTGTAATCTTTGGCACTTATTTGACCTTATTTTGTTGAAAGTGCTGTAATACTTTTACTGAATCTAAAAATATATTTTTGCCACCTTTGCTTTCACTGTTTCTGGCTATTTTGTAAAATGTGTTCTAAGTTGTCCTGACCCTAAACAAAAAAGTAGACAATGTGGATACGGGCATGCTCTTTGTAAACTGCTCTTTATTTGTTTTTGATAACATTGTATTTGGATTCCTTTTCTTGTTTTTTAATATTTAATTTCTATTTTCTGTGCATGTGATGTATTTATGTGACAAGTGGAAGGTTTTGTTCTCTTATCTTTCTTTCATGGCTTTTTTAAAGGGGAGGGGCGGGTTGTTTTTCGCTCTTTTTATGATGCGAAGCTTTCATGTATATCATTGTACAACGCTGCTTCCCTCCACAATAGACCATACTCCTGGGTTCCTTTTTTTTGTTCAAGTGCTCTTTTAGCTGTAGCTTGTGTTTTGCCCATTTTGTGTTACAAGCGAAAGTTTTGAAATATATTTGAATTCCTGATTTGAGTAGCCCCTTGTTATATGTTCCAATGCAGTAGTGCCCCTTTCAACTTTTTGCGAACACCTTGAATTTGCAAATGTCTACAAAGATCGCAAAATTAATAAATTCAAATTTAGCATAGAAAATACCTGATGAACAGTATATATTATAATAATAATATATTGCGGAAAGAGCGCCTTTCTTTTTACTCAATTGGAACTTGGCTAGTACCTATGCAGGGCTAATATCATCATGTATAACCTTGGTGTCTTAATCTTTTTTGTGAAAATATTTAGCACTTTTTCTGGAAGGCATATTTCTGTGTTATTTCTCGACGAACCGTTTGACAGTCTGCCATTTTCTGGTAATTAAATATCTTGTTTAGAAAAAAAATTGACAGTTATGTGGATAGTGCCTGAGTTACAACATGTAATAACACTTGTAAGAAGAGGAGTTATATAGTTTTTTTAATGTATATTATACTCACAAGTTAAAACAGGTGATCAGAGGATTTATTGTTGTTGAAGGAGGATGGAAGAAAAGGCGGTGGGGTAGGCGCTGAGGCTGTAAAGGTAACAACCACAATTGGAATTAGCAGGGGTAGCAGTCCATGTAGTTGTAACCAATGATTAGGGTAACACGGGGTGCCCACTAAGGATGGGATCGGCCGATCGGGCCGATCGCCCGACTCGGTCCCCGCAAAAACAAACGTGTTTGTTCTCAGTTTCAGACGATCGAGTTGGGCGATCGGCCTGATCCAGCCGTTGTGGGCACCCTGTTTAAGCGGGAGGAGTGGCAGTTGAAGTTGAAAGTTGCAGCAATGTTGGCAGTATAAGGGAGCGGAATTACCACATAAACGCCCCAAAAGTACGAGCGATTTTTCTGTGAAAAAACCCCTAACAACAACAACACACACAAAAACTCTCTCTCTCCCTCTCTCTCTCTCTCTCTCTCTCTCTCTCTCTCTCTCTCTCTCTCTCTCTCACTCTCTCTGTCTCTCTCTCTCCCTCTCTCTGTCTCTCTCTCTCCCTCACACACACACTCACACACACACACACTCACACACACACACACACACACACACACACACACACACACACACACATACACACACACACACACACGCACACTCACACACGCGAGCTTTATACACCTCTTATAATCATTATTAA